GGTAGGGCTGGGGTTCTCATGTTTCAATGACCCACGCGTGTGCACGTGGGAGTCCCGTGTCACCCCGCCCCGCGTATGTGAAAACACTCTCCTCCCCACAGGGAATGGAGCCCCCTAGAGGGCTTTTGTCGTCTCCTCTTGTGGCCGTCCTGGCGGGGTCGGGGTGGGAGTGGGAGGGGCGCGAGGAGGAGGCCAGGGGAGGGCGCTCTGGTCCTGCAACCATGTGCTGCGTGCCCTGGATGGGATTCAGAAATTCCTGTGTAGAGTCTGCGCCTACCTGGCTGTGTGGCCTCGGGCAAATTTCTCCTCTACTCTGTGAGCCTCAGTTACAGTGGCGGGCTGAGCCCTCTGCGTAAAGTCCTCGCCAGCTGTCCATTCTGTGCTCTACAATACAAGGTCCCCATAACTCAGGAGGAGCCTCGATCCTCCCTGGGATGAAGTGCAGGGCTCCGGGGCAAATCTCGAAGCTGGGCCAGAACGGAGACGTGCACAGACAGGCTCTAAGGAGGGGCCCCCACACCCCCTTCCGGTCTCAGACACGGAAATGAGACTTCCCACCGGGTGCAAGCTTCCTGAGGCCTCCATCTCCAGGTGTGTGGCTTCTCATTTCCTCCCGCTTCTTTTTCACACACACACAAAAGAAGGACCCAGTTTTTGCCCTCAGGGAGCAACATGTCACCTCCTGCTCTGGTGCCCTGGTCGGGGCTGGGGGACCACTGAGTCCAAACCCCAGCTTGATGCGTGCCCTCAGGAGCACAGCTTCAAACGCGTGATCGATGCCAGGATGCGTAGACGCTGGTGCTGTGAGCGACCTCAGAGACAGTCGAGGACACAGTCCCCGCCCCTCAGGTGGCAGTAGGTCCTGAAATGAGCCAACCTCGTGGACTGCACAGAACTTTTAAAGGCCAGAAAATCTTCCTAAACAGCCCGTGACACCGGATGACACAGGAACTCCTCTATCCCCTGCCAGGGGCCAGACCGATGACATGTGTTAGTCCCCTGCGCCTGGGAGATGCCAGGATTCTGAGTCTGCGATTCTGTGCATTCATGACTCTCTGTACCTGTTACCCCGTGAGTCTACTGGGCTGCAATGGCGTGAGTCCACAAGTCTCTGATTCCGTGAGCTTGTGTCCAAAGATGGGGCCTTTGCAAGATAACCCTGTGACTCACCCTGACACTGGGACCCGTCATCTGGCTTCTCCGCCTCTATCAAATGGGTGAGGCGCAACCCGCCCACCTGGTTCGGTGCCACAGGGAAGCAGCATCTCTCACCAGGGATGTCAGTGCCGCGCGGAGATGTCAGACCCATTAGTGAGAGCCTGACCCGCAGAGAGGGAGGGAGGCGAGCCAATCAGAGCTCGCGGATGGCACGCCGCGCGCGGGGATTGGCTAACAGCGGGGCGGGCCCTCGCCGCGCGGAGGAAAAGGCGGGCTTAGGCTGTACCGCCCGCATCCAGCGCCCCGCATCCCTACGCGCATGCGCTGGTCTGGTCAGTGGGCCCGGGGCCTGTGATAGAGGCCGCTGGCGTGCAGGGAAGGCGTGCACAGCTACCAACGCTCGCGGAGTTACGGTCCATCCGGAGTAACTCCGGGAATAACTCCGCGGACAGCTAGGATGTGGAAATGTACATTTCCTTTGCAAAACAGGCCCCAAGGACCCCAGACTGTCCCAGGGGGGGCTTTGTATATTTTAGAGAGGAAGAGCCATCGATGAATGATTGGGTGGAGAGGATGTGGTATATATATATACAATGGAATACTACTCAGCTATAAAAAAGGATCGACTGTTGCCATTTGTGACCATATGATGGATCTTGAGAGTATTATGCTAAATGACATAAATGAAGTGGAAAAAGACGAAAACCATATGACTTTACTCATATGTGAGCTATATAACAAAAAGTAACAAGTAATCTAGCAAAACAGACAAAAACAAACTCATAGACACAAATAGCAGAATGGGGGTGGCCAGAGAGGATGGGGGGCGGGGCAGGGGACCAAAGAGGGTAAAGGGGGGCCAAGACATGGTGATGCGAGGCGGCTAGACTTCAGACGGGAGCACTCCCTGGAGTCTGCAGATGCTGAATTCTGACCTTATAAACCTGAAAATAATATAACGTCATTAACCAACGTTACCCCAACAAATTCAATTAAAAGTCCTCGGAGTGGAGAGGGAATGGCCGAGGGACACCAGGGCAGGATGGACTCAGTCCGAGAGGCATCCGCAGAATCAGGACGAGGACTCAGTTCCATTCGTGTCTTGACCTCTCCCTCCCTCTTTCCCCCGACCTCGTTTTACTGACGTGCCCTAAAATGGCTGGCCTTCTAGGAGATTCCTTTCCCCATAGAGGAGGGCTGGCCCGTCCTGCGTGTAAGGTAGCAGGCTTCTCGGCCGTGTCTGCTGGGGGCTGAAAGGCGTCGTTCCGAAGGCCTGACGGATTTGAACACTAGAAGCAGCATGCTATGGCGGAAGACAGTAAAATGTGAAATCTCTTATACGTGGGTTCGAATTCTGAATCGACCACTTGAGCCGTATGAGCTTGAGTGTGTTTGTTTGGGACACTGTTGTGGGGACTAAATTTGATCGGCTATCCCATGGGACGTTTCTGACTCCAATAAAAGATCATCCTGTTTCCCTTTTCTCTATAAAATGCCAGGCCTGGGTATCAGCTGAGGTGGGACACTTAGGGAAGCAGGTAATGGACTGGCGTAAACCCCATCCCTCCCACTTACTCCATTCCCTTGGGGAGAGAGACTGGCGGGCTTCACGGAGGAAGGTACGGAGTGTTACAAGCCACAAGAGGCACACATGGTGGGAGGAAGCGGGAAGCCTTCCAGTCCTGGGGTGGCATCTCCCCTTCTTGCCTCTTCCAGACTGTTCAGAGGCAGGCCTTGCAAACCCGGCTCGGAGTGGGAAGTGCCTGTGAAGTGTGGGGGTTCGTGTTGTGTTTTTTTAATTCGGGGAATATGGGAGGTCCATATGGACAAATGCAGGAGCCCCTTTAACCAGAGAGGCTGCAAGGGCCACGGCGGGGCCTGGACTGGCTGGTCTGAGGGAGTAGCTGCTCGGGGCCAGTGCTAGCTTCGGGATGGAGATGACCTTCCAGTCGGGTAGCCCAGCGTGGCTCAGTGGGAAGAGCCTGGGCTCTGAGATTAGACAAGCCTGGGCCTAGATGGGGTGGCCTCGGCGAGGTCGCTGGGCCCGTGGGTCTTAGTTTCCTCTTCTGTAAGAGCAGGGCTCCTGTGGCCATCAGACCGCCTGCACTGGGCTTCCAGCTTCCTGGCTTGTTTGCTTTGTGACAGCGGGTACGTTCCTTGACCTTTCGGGGCCTCAGTGACGGGGTCATCTGTGAGCGTATGTGCCTCATGAACTGTCCGGCACATTGAAAGCGTTCGAGTAAATGTCAGATTCTACTTTTATCGTTATCACATCGTGTCCATCTGGCTGGATTTCGACCGTGCTGGGTTCTTGGGGATCTAGACGTGTCAGTGAGATCTGAGGTGAGGGTGGGGGGTCATAGGGCATGTTGGTGAGGGTGAGAGGTCATAGGGCATGAGTGAGTGAGGCTAAACAGCCTAGGTATAGAGCCTGGGGTCTGGGATCATCAAACACTCGCCCAATTTTTAAGTGAGCTTAGCATAACCTGCCAGCCCACGGAACACACCATTTCCTGAGGGCCCAGCTGCCATATTGAGGCAGAGACCACTGAGCCAAACTCTCTGTGTCCAGCAACCCCGACCCGGAGGAGCCATCACGGAAGCCTTCATCTGCGCTGGGAAAGAACACGCCATTTCGGCACAGCGTGTGAAAACTGAGATGCTCACATCTCAGACAGGTCCTTGAAGACTCAAGTGACCTAGAAACAGCTTCACAGGAACAGATCTCACGGGCATCTCTCCCAACGTCTAGTAAAAGAAGCCTGACTTGTTTCATAAAGAAGGTGGCAGAAATCGTTTATCTCGTGTTTGGAAAAATGTAGCGTCAAGCCCAGACCTGCCCCGCCTGCAACCGAGGAGCCGGGCATACTGGGGAGGAATCCCGCCAATGCGAGGCCAGCCCTCACCCTCGTGATCTCCGCTGCTTCATTCAGATGCCATTAAATTGCCTCACTATTGCCCCATTGCCCTATAAAAGGTGTCCCCAACCTCCAGTTCCTCAGATCACTGGTTCCTTCCAGCCTCGCTCCCGTCGGCAAAGAGGGTAAGTCTCTCTGCCTGGGGGTGACGACGTAGCGTGAAAGGGAGCCTTGCAGAAGCTGGCGTGGAGAGCCACGAGGGTGGTCGAGATGAGACACTCAGGGCAGCCGCTGAAGGAGGCCGATGGCCATAGCTGACCGGAAGCCCGAGCCCGGAGCTTTGGAGGACAGGGAGACGGGCGGTTTGAGCTATTAGGGCTTTGGGAGAAGGCGGCCACCTTCTCTCTCTGAGTGCGGGTGTGCAGTCTTCTCTTGGGTCCGTTAATGAGGTAAAGTGATCGTTTAGCTGATCCAAAGAGCAAAGGGTGGAAACTCACTCCAACGGGGCCTGTCGGGCTTGGCTTGAGGCTCCCGTGGGCTCAGGTGTGCTGACGTGAACATGCCTTCCCTGGGTACACCTGGCTGGGCAGGAGGAAGGAGAGCCACTCTCGAATAAATTGGTGGCAGGAAGAGATGAGCTGGGAAGCGACGACCTCCCAAGGACAACTCGCAGTGTAGACATCAAAGTGGGTGGGGAGAGAGGAGAGTCCTTCATTTTTTACCATGGAAACTGAGGCTCAGAGGTGAGCAGCGACTTGTCCAAAGTCATACAGCCAGGTAAAGAAAGGTACGAGAGCCGAGCCCAGCATCCACGGCTTAGTCCACCCCGGTGCCAGCTGGACAGCTTCAGGGCGCCTGGCACCTTCTCAAAAGCCTATACTGCTTACAGACCACGCCATCCACGGGGGATGTCGCAGGCGCCCCTGGAAATCGTCCTCGTTCTCACGAAACCTTTCTTTTCAGATTTTGCAAAGCCACAGAAAGATGTGTGACCAGCAGAAGCAGGTGCAGTTCCCTCCATCCTGTGTGAAAGGCTCAGGATTGGGGGCTGACGTTACATCTGTGAAATGCCCAGCTCCGTGCGTAACTCAAACCTACGTGACGTGCCCAGCTCCGTGCCCGACTCAAACCCTTGTGAAATGCCCAGCTCCGTGCGTAACTCAAACCTACGTGACGTGCCCGGCTCCATGCCCGACTCAAACCCTTGTGAAGTGCCCGGCTCCGTGCCCGACTCAAACCCTTGTGAAGTGCCCGGCTCCGTGCGTAACTCAAACCTACGTGAAGTGCCCGGCTCCATGCCCGACTCAAACCCTTGTGAAGTGCCCGGCTCCGTGCCCGACTCAAACCCTGGTGAAGTGCCCGGCTCCGTGCCCGACTCAAACCCTTGTGAAGTGCCCGGCTCCGTGCCCGACTCAAACCCTTGTGAAGTGCCCGGCTCCGTGCGTAACTCAAACCTACGTGAAGTGCCCGGCTCCGTGCCCGACTCAAACCTACGTGCAGTACGCCACTCCCTGCCAGACCTTTGTGAAGTGCCCAGCTCCCTGCCAGACCCAGACATGCTACGTCCAGTACCCTTCTCCCTGCCAGACCTACTACGTTCAGGCTCCCATGGGTGGCTCGGCGGCCCAGGTCAGTGTCCCTAACCCATGCTCTGCTCCCGTGTCCACCAGCTACTCCTGCCTGGCTCCCCGGACCTTCGGGGTGAGTCCCCTGAGACGCTGGGTCCAGCGGCCTCAGGAATGCACCTCGGGGTCATCTGGCTGCTGTGAGGATTCGGGCTGCTGCAGCTCTGGGTGCTGCGGCTCCGGCTGCTGCAGCTCTGGGTGCGGCTGTTTGGGAATTATTCCCATGAGGTCCCGAGGTCCCGCGTGCTGTCATCACGAGGACGACTGTTGCTGCTAAACACGGAAGAACAGCTCCGCTCCCGGACTCACGCCTGCTCCACGTGACTTCGGGGGCTTGACCAGCTCCGCCTTCGCACCCCCCACCCCCAGGCTCCCAGTGATGCCGACTGACCTTCACCCCTTTGCTTCCCCCCGTCCCTTCCCACCACCCCCTGCCCCGCTTCTTCATCAAGGCCGCCTGCCAGAGTTAGCGCAACCCCCAAACTTTGGCAAGAATAAAGCTTTGGAAGCAATTCCGCGACTTCCTGTCTGTGTGTCTGGTCCGTGTCTAGCATGCTGGGGATAAACTTCCCCGTGCACAGTGGCAGGATGCGAGGCTGGAGGTTCGGGGGCTGGAGGACGCCACTTCCTGCCCTCCGATCGGTCTGGGCAGAGGACTGGCCGTGACCAAGTGCTCACGGCAGCATGCTCTCCGCGTGTGAACTCGGGGTCCACCTCCCTGGGTGTCGAGGGGCGTGTGCGGTCAGATCTGCTCAGGAGGGTCACTGGACGATGTCCCCGCTGCTGTGTGCGGGGCTCGAACCCGTGGTGGCTTTATGGGTTACACTTCCTGCTCTGATAGGCTCGCCCTCCTGAGGCCATAGGGTAGTGGCCTTAGGGAAGGGGCTAGAACCTCCTGGAAGCGAAGGCGAGCCTCGTGGAGCAAGCCTCAGGGCCCAAGGCGAGTCGCCACTTCCTTCCCCGTTGCTCGGCTGGCTCTGGACGACCGGGGTGGATTTTTTATAACTAGAAACTGTAAACACGCACATGAAAAATAGAGAGAGAGACAGCCGCTGTTCAGAGCAGCCCCACGAGGCCTGGGGCATGAGCGCGGGAGACGGATGTTTGGCAAACGCATGAATACATGGGTGCACGAGTGCGGGAACCTCGTGTTTGCTTCTGAACGAGCTCGCCGAGTCCCCCCGGCACACGCTCAGGAGGTCCCTTTGCTGCGGTGCTACCTTTGAACGTCTAAGCCGCCTGCGGCCCCATAAATCAGACCCCGTCCCTCCACCCACCCCCATAAACGGGCTGTTCAGTCACTGGACACCCACCCACAACCGGGAACAGCCTTGCCCAGGATCACGACTTCCTCTTGCCCCATCAAGTGCTTCTGCACAATTTTTCGAGAATAGGAAAAACTACTGAGTAAAATCTGAAGCCCAGTTCCCAGCGTGGGGGTGTCTTTTGATGGCGTTTCCTTTTTCGGGAAAATGCCTATGCAAAACGTACTGACTAAGTAAGGTTAATGCATAGAGAAAGGCTTCATGATATTTCCCCAAATTAGTAAATAAACTTATAGTCATACACATCAAAATTTTTTATATCTTATACATATGTCGTACTTGAATATATAGCTAATATTATTAAATATCCATAAGAAAAATGACTCCGACCTATTCTTGACACCTACAGGAAAGGGCAGAGGGAATTGCCCTTTATTTATTGAGGACCTACTATGTGCTGGGCATTGTGCACGTGGTGGGCTGGGGGGAAGCAACAGCCAGTGCTGCAGTAAGATTGAGGCCTTCGAGGCAGACAGGTCCATTTCCTGGCCCTATGACCTCAGATAAGTTATGTGATCTTTCCACTCAGAGGGATCCCGTCTCATAAAACTGCCTAAAATAGTACCCGGCACACAGTAGGTCCACAACACATTAAGCCACTTTCCCATTCCTCTTTGGAGGGGTTTTATCAGTAAATCTGAACGTCGGGGCAGAGGGTAAGAGAGTGACAATCGTATCAGATGCAAAGTATTAAGAGAGTCTCACGGCGCAGCATTTTATAGTTCTAAGATAAAATGCAATGAAGGAAGGTTTCCTTTACGGATAAAAAGATGGGGATGCGTGACTTGACACTACACAGGACTACTGTCCCCAGCTTCTCCCTGCTCCGTTCTTATGCCGGCGCTGCCAGATTCTCTTTGTAACAGTGAATAAGCCACTTCGCCGCTTTGGGCCTCAGTCTCGTTTGTCCTCGATACGATGAAGACTGACCGTCAAACCTTCACTAAAGACCTCTCCTGTCACCGACAGTCTGTACTTACAAGTCTCTGACTCTCCCTCAAAGTTCAAGGAAGTATCTTTCCAAGAAAACGGGAAAGGGGTAATGATTGGATGGATAGCGTGTTGTGACCCCCCAGCGGGCTTAAGCAATGGGGCTCCCGGTTAGTCCTCCCAGACTCGGTGCTTGACGAGAAGGGAATATAGGCCAGGTCCCCGGACAGAAGTTGGCTAGGAAAAATGTCACAATCAGATGTCATTCCTTGTCATTGGTGTAAGCATCTCCACCCAGCTGATGGCTGCTGCTGACTTGATTAGCAAGGCGGCGTGTGAGACGGGTGGGTGCTGGAGTGGGCGGGGCCACCGCCGAAAAGCGAGGAGGAGGAATAGTATGCACAGCACCAAAGAGATGAGGCAGATCGACAGTGATTAATGGTCTGAGATCCTCGTGGCCGGCCCTCGCGTTCGACTCGCAGGGACATTGCGCTGGGCCACTCGTCCACCCCAACCTACCTGACCGGGCACGCTGTAGGAACCAGGAACGCAGTCTCGTTTGATGTGATGTCCCCAGAGCCTGGGACTCAATATGGTCGGGTCATTGAAGACATGAAACTTCATTATTGACGCAACCATCCTGCGGTAATTTCCTGGATTGTTGGAATCCAGTGGGATGACTGACCCAGGGAGCACGGAGAAGGCGCGTGTCATCGCCTCTGTGGACTTCTCGGAGAGACACGTGTCCAGCCAAGTGCCCGTGGGAGCTCGTGGAGCCCGTCTCACGGCCGAGCTGTCCGCGCACCACGCCTCGACCCCAGACTCAGCTCCTGCCCGCCCGGCT